TATATATATATATATATATATATATATATATATATATATATTTTAGTTTATTATATATTTGTACATAATTTTTTATATTTAATTTTTTATTATATATTTTCTCTTTCGTATATATTTTGTACATTTTATTAAAAAAAAAATATATATATATATATGTATATAACCAGTAGATATACATTGTATATACTTGTACTTTCTTTTACTTTATTATTTGAACTTACAATTTAGTAAAGCTCGTATATTAGAGAAAGACGCGCGAGTACTTAAGCAAGCGTTAAGTCGAGAAGTTAGTCCTTACTTAAAATAAGAGTAAGAGAAATAAACGTTACGGTTTTCTCAGAATACTTTGTACGTTCTCGTTTACAGTTTGGGATTCAAAGGGATGAAGTGTGTTCTGGTGCAATAAAGAGAGAGAGAAAGAGAAAAACAGAATGAGAGAAAGAATGAGAGAGAGAAAAATAGAGACAGATAGTAGGGGTACATAGAGAACATAGAAAACGGGGTTGGTGAGAAAGGGAAATAGAAAAAGGGAAATGAGAGAATGAGAGAAAGAGAGTTGTAGAAGAGCGTTTGCGCGTTGCTAGTTTCATGTCCGAGAGAGCGCACGCTTCCGCCTGATCGCTCACATACATTTTCGTTAAAACGCGCGTTCCGTCCGTTTCATTAATTTTAATGCTCGCCGACCATTCTGTTCGTTTCCGCGCAACATATGAATGCGCGGCTTTCGTCTCTCTCTCTCTCTCTTTCTCTCATTCTCTTTTGCTTTTCTCTTCCATTCGTATTATCTATCTCTTTCTCTTTCTGCACGCGACACATAACACAAAATATACAATATTCGCATACATATAGAGAATACAACAGAGAGAGAGAAAGAAAGCAAATGAGAAAGAGAGAGAGAGAGAGAGAGAGAGAGAGAGACGAATGCGCTCATGCAAACGCGCGCGCGGCCTCGGGTTGGTTGATATTAATTAATAATCAGAAACAGATGCGGATTTGGTTGGGCACGACTTTAACATGGTAGTGTTAGTGAGTATGATGGTGTTGGTAGCGGTGGTGGTGGTGGTGGTGGTAGCTTCGAAACAGCGATAATTATTTAAGTCCCTACTTCCATCTCCTTCTTTTTCCATCCCCCTTTTCCATTCCACTTTTCGTCTCAAATATTTCTCTCTCTTTCTCTTTCTCTCTTTCGTTTCGTTCGGCCGCGGGACAAGTGCGCCGTC